GTAATGAGTGGTAGGTATTACTTTACATCACTTTCTTCCCAACCTAGAGGTACATAACCCTTTCTTCCTAACTCTACAAGGTTAGGATAACAACCTACAATGTGATAGCTAACAAGTTCCAGTTTCCTTTCTTTTCCTTAGTTTATGGTCTGCTGTACTCACCAACAGATTCAACAGGAATTCTAGATATTCACTGTTTTTGAGCTTATCCAAGTCTTTGATGCTGTGAACAAGATAGCAACATGCAACTCGAATGACCTCTGCTCTCTCACCACAGTTGCCAGCTTAACATGCTCATGGACATGAGGAAGGCAATGAGCCATTTTTCAGTAAGCACAGTCAGTAGCCATTTAGAACAGATATGCTATAGAATCAAGGCATTAGTCTCTGGGACGCTTCACCAACAATAATATAGGTATCCGAGAGTTAAGTTCACAGTCTCTGGTTAGTAAACTACCACATTTCATCAGTTTCAACATTTCTCACTGGCACTCACAGCAGGGAATGGACAAAATGATGTTTAGGGAAGGTGAAAGCAATATGATCAAAACAAAACTTTTCTTAAATCCAGCATTTACAGAAAGCTACTTGTAAAAGAAAGATTTTGATGAAGAGTTCAAGGCAGTGTTTGAGGGAAAACTTTATCTGTCGTCTTCAATTACTTCTTTACTTCCCTCAGAATCTGCATGTTTCTACCTTTTATTTCTAACCTAAAATAGTTTCTAGTCTACAATAAGTACTTAAGTAATAACCAATACATGTATGTGGTTTTCGAAGAAAAAACAGTGTGTCCCCCCATATCATCTCAATAAACACATTCTTTATAAACATACACACACAATGGTGGGCAGGGTCAAAATATCATGGTAAGAGCTCTTAATAGTTGGAAAAATAAAAGTGAAAGACACAATACATCAATTGTGATTACTCTCTTCTGAGTTGAAGGTTTCATTAACAGACCTTAATTATTCCAACAGGCATGGCCTTCTCTGTTCTTATCTGCAATGTAGGCTCCATCCTTTGAGAACCTTTTCTGTGACACTTTACCTTATTGGCTATATTAGAACTTGGCGTTAGGGAACACACATCTTTTGGGAGAAGGCCACGTGTTTATAAGACTGAGTTTGAGGATTGTTTTGAAGGTTACAGAACACACACAGCAGTTTTTCTTGTGTTGTTTTGTGTAGTGATTCATTCATTTATTTCATTTTGAAGAGAGTCTTTTCCCCCCTTTGGCAAAACAATGTCATTAAACAGTTGGTGTTTTTCTGGCCTATTTGTTTCCAGTCAGTTCCAAGTGCTTATAAGCATATCCAAAGGTTTTTTTTCCCTTTTTTTTTCTATACATACTAAATCAACCTTTTTAAAATTTCTTTCTTACTACTCTTTTTTCCTCAACCTAATATTTAACTACCAAAAACAAATAAAAACATTAAGGAAAGCTAACATCTTACTTTGGTACTCAATGAAAGATTGAGAAGACTTAGGACTTTTACCATTCTTATTTCTTACTATTTTGAGTCCACATGTCGTCTACCTTTTCAACCTCCAATAAACCTTGATCTTTGGAACGTATCCATTCCCATGGATCTCATCTTGAAAACTAGCCAATTCCTGTCCAGGCTAATCTCAGCAAACACTATTGTTTTGATTCTTTTCCCAATCACTTCCCCGTAGCTACAAGCCCAGCTGGCACATGGACTGCATTCCAAGTTACCATGGGTAACAGTTGAACTAAGTTTTTTTGCCATAGTATAGTAGAATTAATAAGCTTCCAGCCTGATATATTAGTTTCCTCTTCACCTGCCATCTGACTATAAAACAATCACTATTCCTTCTTTTATCTTTTGTTGCTGTATCACTATTCTTCTGGTACTAAAGCATGCATTAATTTATATGGATAATACTAACAAGTATCGTAAACAAACCTTAAAGTACCAATGATTTTACATCATAAAAAGTTTATTTCTCTTCCTGATCAAGGCCAGTGTAGATATTCCTTGCTGGCAAGTACTTTCTGCATAATCATTCCATCTGGGAGTTCTACCATCCCCAGGCCTTTCGGAATCTTTTTCTGGATTCTGTCCTTCTGGGATGCATGTGAGAAACCATATGCAGTGCAGAATAATGCAGTGGAAGATGACACAAGAGATTTTTATAGACCAAACTTGGAAATGGTATACATCACCTACATGGGTCTGTACTTATTTATATGGCTAGTCCTAACTCCAAGCAGGACTGTGAGGATGGAGAATAGACACAACAAAGACAGTTGTATATCTGTTATAAATTGGGAAAGGGAAAGCCAAAAAAAAAAAAAACCTGGAAAAGGCTTAAAATTAGGCTACATGCAAAATATTTGTCAAGCTGAAATTATACATTTGATCATTATTTTGCTTACGGGCCTTCAACTGTTGTGTTGTTATTTAAGTTAGCAATTTTGTCAATATCGTTTTATATCTGAAGTTTGTTGATAGCTGGAAATCATGATATTCTCATGTTTTCTATGTGGGATATATTGAAACTTTGTGTTTGCTTGAATTTAGCACTTACAATATCATCAATTTTGACTTTGACTTGGGGAGAAATATTGCTGGATGCAGAATTCTTGGGAAATTATGATAGTATATGTAAGGAGGACTTTTCATTGCTGGATAGCTTATGTTTCACATGTCCATTAGAGAAAGAACCTAACTTCAGATAAAAGACTTAAGGAAATCTCATCATTATCATCAAGGTAATATTAGTTAAAGGTTTACTGTATTCTTAGCACTTGTCTTAGTGTTCACATCATTAAATAATTTATCACAAGAAGCTCACCACTTTCTTCTTTTGAAAATGCCCCCTACTGCTCACAATTCATATATGAGTCAGCTATTTCTGCTATGAATGCTGTGTAACAAACAATCCCCCAAATTACACTGACTTCAAACAGTCAGTGTTTACTTCTCACCTTCACAGATCTGTAATTTACCTGGGCTGTCTCTGCTTCAGACTCATAAGTAGTGGGATTTGGCTACTGGTTACAACGTAACCACCAGGTAGCCTATTTGGCTACTAGGTTAAGTTGGATTTAGATTTTTTAGATTGGACTAGCAATTATCCAAAATCATGTTGTTCTTTTGTCAGCTAGTAGATATTCAAGAAGTCAAGATAAACCATGCAAACACAGGTCTAAGGTCTGTTTATGTGTCTGTTTGTATTTCATCATCCAAACTCCAGCTCAGAATCAATGAGGCATATATATAGACTTGACCTTACTTATTATAAGGCACTGAAAGATCCCTTGATAGAGAGAAGGCATAAAGAATAAGAATGATAATCCAGTACACCATAATGCCACAAAGGATATTACAGTAATAGAAAATGGGTCCAACTGAGTAGTGATTGCCAATAATGTACAATGTGCAGAAAAGTTGTAGCTTTATAAATTTTTGTTAATCTTACCAGTGAAATAGATTTAAAACAGCATGATGTGAAGTGCCTTTCAAGATCTATTTAATATTCTGCATAATGTCAGCATCTGCATTCATTACACCAGTAAACCCAGGAAGATCACTGGTAACTCAGTACTATACCTATTTCAGAAACATATGCTGTATCAAGGCAACCAATCTGGGCAATATGGTGATATGATTGTGATGGAAATGCAGGAGAAAAATATAGCCTTTTGTGTGTTTCAGTTTTTGTTTTGTTTGGGTGGGAAGAACAGAAAAGAATATATTTTGCTCTGGACATATTGAATTTGCAGCTTCTACAAGAGAAAAATGAAAGGAGGCATTCTGTATATAATAATACTGGGGAAAATGATCTAGAAATTAGGAGCGATATGCAAAGAAATAATATAGAAATAGAAAGACAGATAGATGTATTTATCTACTAATGACTGCTTCCTTAATTTAGAATAAAAAAATTGAGATGCTATTTTTACTCCATAAACAGAAACTACACAAGGGATGCAAACTCACTCAACAGAATTAAAATGAAAGCCTATTCTTTCCTTTTTGGCCCACTGTAGTCATGGTGGGGAGTAGTAGGAATAATTCAATGGAGATTAAGTGTGTAAGGTTTTATCATTCTAGAGATACTGTAAGGGCACATCCCATCAGCCTGTGTCTTTGAGGGCATTATGTCCATTAATTCATTTAGGGGTATAGAGAAATTCTGCCATATTTCTATACCATAGTTTCTAACCTACATAGTATCAATGACGAAAACTTAATCTATGGCTCATTTTATTAGGGTGCTGTAACAAGAGGGCAAAAGGACTTTCTTTTTTATGAAGTTAAATGAATGTTGTTATGACTTTTACTGAGAGTGGGATAGCATCCTTCCACATCTTGTTTGATCCACTAATTCTTCCAAATTGCATTAGTAAGTGCCAATAAAAAATCTTATAACTCAAATGTAGGATTTCTGCTTATATGAAAATCACTACACTACAACAAAGTTGTGCATCCTTTTATAACTCAAGATATTCTGGCTTGAATTTGATAAAAAATTATTTTAATTTATTTGCTGATTAAAAGCAAAAAGTCTCCTAAATGAAGAAACTAGAACCTAAATACAGAAAAATAAAGAAATGGGTGATTTTAGAGTCTAGAAAATGAGATATTTTTAATAAGAAACTAATTGGTTGAAGAAGATCTTGAAAACCTTCGTATGTTCACTAAAGAAAAAGAATTGAGGCTTGGCACCCATAGCACAGTGGTTACCGTGAAAGTGTTCTTGGAGCCTCTGATCGGAGACGCACTAGCCACATACACTGAGGCTGGCAGATTTGAACTTGGCCTGGGCCAGCTAAACAAGACTGACAACTGCAACAAAAAATAGCCAGATGTTGTGGTGAGCATCAGTAGTTCCAGCTCCTTGGGAGGCTAAGGCAAGAGAATCACTTAAGCCCAAGAGTTTGAGGTTGCTGTGAGCTGTGACGTTATAGCACTCTACCCAGGGTGACAGCTTGAGACTCTGTCTCAAAGGGAAAAAAAAAAAAAAAAAGCATACTTACCTAGCAGGGGAGATACTATGATCACAAAAGTGGTTTTCCCAAAACAAGGCTTATGCTTTGTACTCTGGATGTGCTGACCCCTGAGATTTCCCCAAATGTGGGAAACTCTACTGCATGATTTGTGACAGTAGGGGGGACTGTGTTTGCACTCTCCCCTATTTAAAAAAAAAAAAAAATTTAAAAAACAAGAAAAAGAAGCAAAAATGTTAAGAAGAGATTAGCTTGAATTTACAAACATACACACACAATCAACACTGCTAAAGTCACTTTTGTCCTTCAAGTGAATTTAGGATGGGTGATAACTCATGAGATCTGGTAATTAGCAAATAATCAGTGCTAACTGTAACAGAATTTCTATTGAAACAGTATTGTTTGAAATTTGATTATGGAGGGGATGATGAAAAATGAAGTTTATGACATCAATTTTCAATAATGTTGGTTTTTCTTTCTGTCTGGAATGTACTCCTAATGTTCCTCCAGGGAAAGTTTTATTTATAACTCAGGGCTCCAATTATGGGTTGGAATATGTATGTATCTCTGATACATGCATACATGTATACATATTTGCAAGCAGATACATACTCATATAATCTGTATGTAACCATATGTATTGAGATTAAGCTATACATAATCTCATACTGATGTCTAAACTCTCATCCATTACCACATGGGTCATTCTAGCCTTCTCCTATCCCTTATCTATAACCTCTCACTCCAATAGTGGGAAACATGTCTCTTGACATTGAACATCAATTTACTTAATTGTTCATATTCAATATATGTCTATTGCAGAATTGTTAACATGTACCCCTTTGGGAAGCTACTTTATCAAAAAGAGTGAGTTGATATAGTTTTTTGTTAAAAACAAAAGATGTCACTTATTTCTAACATTACTTAGTTTGTGAGGTTGTTTCTTATATTTTGATATATTTAGATTGTTCTGCCAGTCTACATTCCTTTCCAGAATCACACTAAACTTCTATTTATTTTTTTTAAATGTCATACACTCAGTTTCACTCTTTGTGATGGAAAGTTCTATAGGGTCTAAAAAGTCCATTTTTGGTGATCAGTACTGTCTCAATAAAATAGATTGTATGGCATGCATTGCATGCTGTGAGTGAGAATTAACAGAGTTGGGGACAGGGTTAGAGATTGAAGTTAAGCCAAACCACAATCATAAATGTGTGATGGATGTAATTACAGGGATCATAAGGTCTTCTCCTGCAGCACTTCCCAGTCCAGGAAAAGGAGAGATGGGTAGATTGGTCAAAATTGGGTTATGGCTAAAAAGGGGTCATCAGAAGAAAATGAGGAGGAGATTGAATAAATGAAAAGTCGTAGGGAGAAAACCAGTGAAATGATTAGCTGTGAGATTGGTCCAGGATGGCCTGGGAAAGAAATAAACCCCAATAGGCTTCATATTCTAACAGACTAAGAGAAGTTCAAGTGATTAGAGATCAGAGAAGACTATAACAGCAGGTCTGGCTGAGTGGAAAAGTTAAGAAGTCAAGAGGTAATTTCAGGGTTCAGAAATATGATTTATTAAGATGCATTTTTTCAATCCACTACATTTATTAAGAAGGAAAAAGCATATGGTCACATAATAAGGAGAAAAATAGAATATCCCAGCATTCATAACAACTGGATTTGAGGAACATAAACTTGATTTATCTCTCATTTTTGTTTTGATTGTAACTAAACTCTGAAGCTGAAGAGCTGTAAATCAACATCCTCAGTAGATTCGTTAGTGGACATGCAATTAATCAAAGCTAATGCAAATGTGCTTTATAAAAATAATCAGAGGTTAAAACTCATATTTAAATCCAGAAGTTCAGTGATGCGTGGCTAATGGTCATATATAAATCCTTCTGGATTTAACTTCACAACCAGTTGTTCATACATCGATGTGCTTCAAATCTCAAACCCCGCAAAGTATTAACCTTTGATTTACCTTGAGTTCTGTGAAAAAGTATAAAAACCTTTAGAAAGAAAACAGAAAAAAACTGAGGAAAAGGAAATAAATCAGCTACACACTGACTCACATTAACGATTCAAAAATAGTAATGAATAAATAAATGTATTCCAGACTCCCAAATTGAAAAATCAAGGAAGCTACTGAAAGAAATTTCTTTCAAAAAAATTGTTTTCAGTCAAATGTGTCATTAAGTTCCTTAAAATATGTGTATCTCTGTTGTTTTGTTTGCATTTTGTCTTCATAGGTATTAAATTAAATCAATTAAATTAATATAAATAAATAAAATTTGCATCACTAATTACATGACAAAATTAGTCAATGTCATGCAATATAAATACATTTTATTTATTTATGTTAATTTAATTTTCTCAGATAAGTTACTCTCCTTTCATTGCTACCACATTTACTTAAAATAATATCCAGCAGATGCTCATTTATTCTCAGATAATGATACTAAGAATGAGCAGATAGCAATTAAAAATGAAAGCTTTGGGGGTGGCGCCTGTGGCTCAACTGGCTAAGGCTCCAGCCACATACACCTGAGCTGGCGGGTTCGAATCCAGCCCGGACCCGCCAAACAACAATGACAGCTGCAACCAAAAAACAGCCGGGTGTTGTGGCAGGTTGGAGGCAGGAGAATCGCTTGAGCCCAGGAGTTGGAGGTTGCTGTGAGCTGTGATGCCACTGTTCTCTACCCAGGGCGACAGCTTGAGGCTCTGTCTCAAAAAAAAAAGAGGGGGGGCAGTAAGGTGCCAGCCCCATATGCTGGAGGTGGCGGGTTCAAACCCAGCCCTGGCCAAAAACTGAAAAAAAAAAAAAAGAAAGCTTTCCCGATTATTGTTACTAATGCACTGCCATATACATTATGCTTTAAACAACATTTCTATAGGGTTTACCTGCGTTTTTAACTTATTGTACATACTGTTCTTAGCTTTGAAATCACCAAGAAAATCTGAAATTTTGACAATGCTATATGGTGAAATCTGAAATTATTAACAAAACTGTCTACATATAGTTCTTTAAAGTCAAAGCTCTTCCACATGGAAGATGGTTTCATAAATCATCCCCAGTTTGCATACGGATGAGAACATGAAACGGCTACAGTGAGTAGCACAAAGAGATGAATCCAAGACTTGCACAGTAATGTCATATGTGCGATGGGATTATTTCCTGTTGCATTATTTCAACTGTAGAATTTGCACAATTAATTAACTATGCTGCAAGAACTTTTTTTCTTATTTTAAAAATCGAATATTGTCTTATTAAGAAATAAGTGGTTTAAAAAATTTCTAATTTAAGAGAATTTAAATAGCAAATCCCATGAAAAACTTGTGAGAATTGTGTTTGCATCATTCAGATCCAGTCCTGGAGAATATATTTTAAGCTTACAGCCATCAACAAGCAATGTGTCTGAGCATACAGCAAGTTCCCTGTATCCATCTATTGGACTCGTGAACTTGGCATACATATGGGTCATTTGAATGTCTGAAGAAAGTTGTCAAATGGATGGTTTAAACCTTGCAAATTATAAAAGTGGAAGAAACAGATAGATACAGGGTACAGCTCTAGGGGAACTTTCATGCTTTTAAGTTTACTGATTCAATCTGGTGGCTTAATAGTCTGTATTTAAGAAATGTTGGTCCAGAAAAATCAAGCCAATGATAAAATAATCAACCTCTTAATGTTTGCCTTTTAATATGTATTTAGAATGAAAACAAAGCTAAAATAGAGAAGTTTCATTGTTTCCATTAGGAATTAAAACCCATTTCTTAGTAGCATCCACAGCAGTAACCTTCCAATCTGCTGGAACCAAGCTTTCCAGGAACTAAATTTCACGAAATTTATTAGAACTGAGCATAAGTCATGCACATCAAAGGAAAATAGAATTTCTTCCAAAATTGTTTAGTGTCTTAAAACATTTAGGCCCATGATCACATCTGTATGAACACTGCTATATAATGAAAGAGAGTGCTCAGAACATTCTTTTTTCCTTACCTATAAAATAAGAAAATTGAAACCTATCATACACATCATCAAATTGACACGAGACACAAAAAACGGAAAAATCCAAATATTATGCACCTACTGTGTATATGAAGGGAGAAAATAAAAAATAGAAAAATCCCAAAAAACTCCAGAAAAATCCAAATATTATGCACCTACTATGTATATGAAGGGAAAAAATGAAAACCTGAAAAATCCAAAAAAAAAATCCCCAGAAAAATCCAAATATTATGTACCTACTGTGTATATGAAAGAATATAGGAAATAGAAAAATAGTAAAATCCAAAAAATAGCTAAATCCAAATAGGATGCATCTATTGTATCTATGAGTAAGCTATGCTGATATGCTCAAAACTAAACAGAATACAGATTCCCTTTCTCAAGCAACTGAGAGATTAGATGGGCAAGGAAAACATGTACATTAGTAACTGTAACTTAAGGTAAAAAAATACTCAGTGCCTTTAAAGGTAAACTAGAATCAAATTTCAGGGATGAAAATACAGCTGCTTTTATATAGGAGTTAGAGAGTTTTCAGTTGCCCCGTATCATTCACCATGGCCTTCAAATAAGAATTAGTTGGATATATATTGATCAGAAGAAAGTACACTGGAGAGAGTAAATTGTAAGAAGAAAGACAGAAAAAGTGACACTTATGGAATTATCTATGTTACACATGGTTAAATGAATGTCTATGTTGATCTGGACAGGTCGGTGTTCAAGCATCCCTTTTTATATTGATAAACTTTGCAATCCTGGATCAATCGTTCACCCTTCTATCTGAAAAATGGATAAATAATAATAGCATTCTCATTAAGGTTGTAAAGACAGTAAGAAAATGCACATAAAGTGCCTAGCATATATTATTATTATTTTCATTTTTTCAATATAATTTTTTTTTTATTGTGAGGTTTGGTAAATGTTACATTTCAATCCATTTTTTATGCTACCTTGCTGTATCATAAAATAATGTTGATTCATTATTCTCAGGTTGGCATATTGCTATTTAATATGGAGGTTAGAAAGATAACTTGAATATTATCACCAACATATTGTATATTTAAATTTCACCCATTAAATTTGATGATAGCTAAAACATTTGAAACACTCTATATCAGACAGGGTATTTCATATGTATTTGTTGAATAAATCTTCGCAGTAATCCTATCAAGGAGATAACAA